CATCCTTCAGTTTATAACAATAATTGGGTATGAAATTATACTAAAGATGCCTCATAAATACTGCGCAGTCATTTCCTTGTTGAGTATGGCAGATATACACTATCTGATGTTCCTCACTGTCAGGATGTGGGTGAACTAGTTGAAGAGGTTCAAGAGGCTAGAAGGATCAAATTGCTGCATCAGCCAAGCAAGGTGCACTTAGTTTCTTCCCCCTTATTATTGCTGAGTGGATTATTTTTCTTGATTTTCTGAATCACTGTAAATTGTATAATGATACCAAGTTTAATGATGATAACGATGGTGATGGTGATGGTGATGGTGATGTTGGCACTGATGGGATGATGAATTCCTCTTTTGACAGAGTTTTAATGAGAATGACAATAATTCACGTATATATCACATTCAAATACAAATACTCTTATAATGATGGAAAATTGATCATCACAGATCATTATGATATTTTCAGGTGATGGCCATGGAACATGAACTTCGTGCTTTAAGGGATCAAATTCGAGAAAAATCTATTTTTTCAATTAAACTGCAGAAGGAGGTTGGTTGAAATCTTGTTTTTACAGGCTGAGCTATGTGGATTATTCCAGTATGTAGAACGGTTGACTAGATCTTAAAGCAAGTTTTAATTCTACTGACATAGTTATGAACTGGCAGCTAGATTTTTCATGATTCTCTTAGCTGCATGATAGTAATGTTTAAAATGAAATATTTTTCCTTGAAAACTACGAGTTCTCTCTTCAGTATAGAGCATAATGCATCACATAACTTAGCACCATAACAAGCATATGATTGTGCAAAGCCATGTGTTTCTCTCCTAGTTAAGTCATTTGAAACCTGATGTAATTGATGCCTGAAGTACCTCATCTTCTGTACTGTCAGGTACCATTTACAACTAACAATTAACCTACAATTCTCATACTCTTGAATATTAATAAATTCATTTCCTCCTTTCCAGTTGACAATGAGCAAGAGGAGTGAGGAAAACAAATATTGTGTATATAAACTACATGGTTCTGAGACATTAGGTTCATGCCTACGAGTGCAGCCTTGCTCGGAGGAGGTGCCACCAATTTCAAAATGCTCATTTCAATGGTACCGCTTGTCATCTGAAGGCAGCTGGAGGGAAGCAATTTCAGGTATAATTTATTAAGTTTCTCTCTTAATCGATTTCATTTTTCCAGTTGTGGTCTTGGAAGTGGATGCTTTTCTTTATTGAGCGTAACTCATCACATAACGAGCATATGATGTATTTAGTTCTCGTTGTGCTTGTATCATCTGTCAGATAATATTTTCAACTCATTCTAGGTGTTCCTTCTGATAGTTCCAATTAAGTTTTTGCTGACATGGAAAAATTGGAATATATTAAGATTGAATGTCTCAATAAACGTATGGCTTCAATTAGGTTGCAGGATCATATTTATTATTTACTACCTCTATTCCTAATTATAAGGCCTCGTTTCTAAACTACAAACAAGGCTTTATAATTAGATCTGGAGGTACTATCTTTTTAGTTTTATGTTAGTCACTTTATATTTCTTATTTGAATTTAATCATCTTTTTTGCTCTGTTATCCAACGACCAATTAGTCTACCAGGATTTTGTTTTTTGTTCTTCCTCTGATGTTGGTTTTACTTCTTTTCATCAGGAGCCAACCGATCAATTTATGCCTCAGATCCCTCTGATGTTGGGCGAGTCTTACAAGTAGACATTATTTCCAATGGCAAAAAGCTTACAATAACGACTGGTCCTATTCAGCCTGGTTGGTCTTAATTCTGGATATTTTGTTTTTGCTAACAAATTGTTTCTGTTTCCCACGTTATTTATTGAGGCTTAGAGAAGTAGAAGTAAGAGGTTAACTATTTAATTTCTGACAGTTGCAGGACTTGGAAGCCATGTGGAGACACTTCTACGAAAGTCTAATTCAGAATTTAATGTATGTTATCCATAGTGTTTTCTATTTTCCGTAATTTTGATTCCTCCTAGCTGAAAAATAATTTACCATGCATATGGAAACTTATGATCATCTTGTTTCTTCCATTTCTGAAAATCTGACATAACTTTGTCATTACATGTCAATAACTGACATTCTTGACACAACAGTCCTTATGACGATTGGTTTTTTTATCTTGACAGGTAGTTATCTCTCAGATGAATGGACAAGATTACTCATCACATTCTGTTCATTCATTTCATGTGGGGAAAATGAGGATAAAGCTATGTAGAGGTTGGATAACAAAATCTAGAGAAATATATTCCCCAGCAATGCAGGTATTTATTTTGGCTATCAGCTTTCATACTTGTGCTGAGGATTTCAAAATTGAAAGTCAAAATCTACAATAGTTTATCTGATTGTTGCATTAATCCCTCTTGCATTTCATTAGAGTGGTTGTGATTTCTTCCCCTGGCATTGACTGTATCAATTTCTTTGGCATTCAGAACCGCTACATTTTATATCCTATTTGATATGACAACCTAGTAGAGAACTGTAAATATTGTCAAATCACAAAACAATGTTTTATTCGAATACGATGTGGTGAAGTACAAATTCTTCGATTTTTTTGTTTGGCTACGTTTGTCATGCTAACCTTGAATTGATTACCAGTTGTGTGGAGTTAGAAGTGATGCCAGTAATGCAGCGAAGGCAGTGTTTTGGCAAGCTAGAAAGGGTCTCTCGTTTGTATTGACATTTGAATCAGAGCGAGAAAGAAATGCCGCCATCATGGTTGCCAGGAAACATGCTCTTGATTGCAATGTACGTATCTTTTATCTCTCCAGATTATATATACGGATTCCTACACTAGCATTATTGCGCCAAGTTCCTAGCAATATTCTTCCCATAAAATGGACCCCTGGCCCCAGCATGCTAAGTTATTACTTGGTTCAACACTCCTATGGAAGTTAATAAAAGATGATCATTTCATGGCAGGTTGTGCTCGCAGGGCCAGATGATTTAGTGTAGAAGAAAACCTAACTGACTGAGTTTCAACAATTGTGAGTATTGTTCTGATTTTTGGGTGTGAGTATATAATACATGAGTGTGGCTATTTGGTTACGAAAGGGATGCTTTGGAGCCTTGTAATTTGGGTTTCTGCTAACTTGGTTGCATTTTTAGGCATGTTTTTTTATTTGCCTAATCATATGTTGTAACAAATCCATGTGGGGATGATCATTAGTTCATTTGTTTATTGTGTCTGATTTGCAAATTCCTGCAACAAATTGTCCATCTTTCAAGTTTGCCTCGTGACCTTCACTTTCTTCTGCAATGCTCAAGTGGAGCATATGATCATGCAGAAAACAGAAGGCAGTATATCAGGGCTTAGTTTCCTGTTGGGAAGTTATTCACAGTTAAAATAATATACTACGTTGAAACCCTCCTCAAATGGAGGTTGCACAGTGAGTGTGTGAATGCAATATGTCTTCCGTCAATTTATTTTACTTTGTTGTAATCATGAAACTTTGAAGAGGATTTGTTTAGCGTCTTCATCTGATATAGGTTCTAACTTAATTAGGAGTCTCAAGTCTCAAGTTTGAGTCCTGAGGATGTAGCAGCGTTGAATCTCGATAATAGTGGTCTCACTGGAAAGAATTTCACGTTACTCAATGAAGTTCTCTTAGCTCAAAAGACGCCGGCACCAATTGAAGGGTTATGCTTGTTTAGTGTCTTCAAAATAAGTTTTTTAAATTAAAAAAAAAACAAAAAAAAAATGTCACTAACAAAATATTGTTATCAATATCTGGATACGAACAAAAGCCTTTGTCAATACAATAAATTAGTATGCCTTCGCTACTTAGTTACTTTTTTGATGACTGGATATTGCCTATTCATACTTGAAAGTTTTCCCTAATCAATTACCGGAGCTTTAATTACAAATCATGGTTTATAATCTTCCCAAAAAGCAACGTTGATATTATCAATGATAATAGTAAGACTCATTTTTCGCATTTGTTTGATTGTGAAAATCAATTTTTGTTCATCCGGGAATTATTAATGTTGGAATCATTAAAATCAATTTCTAAGAACTTCAGGGAAGTCAGGACCAACCACACTTCCCTGGTCAATTTTTCTTCTTCTTTTCCCTTCGTCTTTCTAATATAGGAGGGAAGAAGACATAAATAAATAATTGTAAAAGAAATTCACTACAGACTCAAACACGCAAGGTGTAGCTGAAGTCACTATGTTATCAAGACTGATGCTATCTAACTATGAGATTGAGAAATGGCATCGTTCCAAGTATAACGAATGATCGAATAATTAACGCTCATATTAATATTATTTGGATATTAAATATCAATATTACATAAATATTAAATATTGATATTGACACTTTTTTTTTGGGAACAGATATTGACATTAATAATCAATATTGATATTGGGCGAGTGCCGATTTAAAGTAATGTTGGTGATATTATTGCTAAATTCACTCTCATATTTTTTTAATTTAATTTAGTTTTAGGGGGTGTTTGGGTAATTCCATAATCACTTTTCAAAAACACTTTTTTCGTAAATCGAGATAAATTTCTTCACATATTTACTTCGTATATCGTAAAAAACACTTCTGAAACTATGATTTTATTATTATCCAAACACTCCCTTAGTTAATAACATTTCTCCTGTACAGCTTTAAAAAATAAAAAATTGTTTTATAACATGGCGCCGCAGGTGTTTGCTTGCCTTCAACTGACAACGGGAGCGTGGACCATCCACGAAGCCCAAGCCATGAAGGCCCATTGCACATTATATTTCGTTTTTTATTTTTTTGGTACGCACTAGTCAGATGCTTTTTGAATTTCCAACGGCTACAATTCTCCTGTTGGAACTTGGAAGCCACATTGTGCCGTCCGATAAGGCTTGAGCATCCAACGGTTTAAAACTCGGCACTATTCGACCGTTAGAAGAGAAGAGAAGCGTCACCTCTCTCAGCTTCAAAAAGGAAGGGCTTTTCTTCTCCCTCCCCTCGTCCTACTTAACGAGACACAGACACGGAGAAAAAGCGCTAACTGATTCAGAAGGGGCTCTCTAAGCAAACCCAGAAGGAGAATCGCAGACGCAGAGTGTTGAAAATGGCTTCGAGACCCATCGTTCCACCACAGGCCAGAGGTACTCTGTTCCCCATCTTGTTCCCGTATCTTTAAATTTTTAGCCGTAAAATGTTCATTCTTTATCCATTCCTATGCGTGCTTCTTTTCATTCTTTGTTTACTGGGATTAGTATCCTTCACTTATCGTTTTTTCTCTTACATCTTTTGTGGGTTTGAGTGAAACCTGGTCTATCGCTTACAGACAAATGCGAAATCTGGTTTCACTGCGCTTCTCTAGGATTTGTCAATGGACAGCATCATTTGAGGATATAATTACTTGGTCGATTCGTTTTTTTCTCTCAAGTATTTGCAAAGACTGAACCGAATAGATAAGACAGGAAGTATAGTTCAGCGTAGAAAAGAAAGATCTTGTCCGGATTTTCGGGACGAAGAACGTCTAATACGAAAAAAGGGCTTGGGAAGAAGGCTGTGGGGAGTGAGGGGAAAGAGTCAAACTTATTTCTTGGGTTTATTTTAAATCTTTTCACGATCTCATCCACATGCAGAATGGGGCATTCTTTCTATTCTGGGTTTTTTTTTTTTTTGGCGTGGATGTTAAATCATTAACATTAATCTGTATTTATATCGATCTATCACCCCTGTTAAGATTTCTTATTTTTCTGGGCGAATCTAATAGGTGATGCAGTCGTCGAGGGAGGTAAGCAGCAAAAGAAAAATCCAGCGGCAGAAGGAAGAAACCGCAGAGCACTGGGCGACATTGGAAATTTGGTGAACGTAAAAGGAGTAGAGGTCAAGCCTAACCGCCCTATCACAAGGTCTCTCTCGCTTTCTATATGATGCTCATCTTTTATTGGTCATTGCAGTCTTGATCTTAACCTCTATTTATCTTTCTGTCGTTCTTTTAGGAGTTTCTGTGCCCAACTACTTGCTAATGCCCAGGCAGCAGCTGCGGCTGACAACAACAAGGTCTAGCCCTATTACTTGTTTCAGTTCTTGGGTCAATTGTTGAGTTTTACATTCACTGGTATAATGGCTGTATAGGATTAATCTTGGGTTGCTTATTTATTTGTTTTTAAATTGCAGAAACAAGCTTGTGCTAAGGTGGATGCACCTCTTCCGGTCGTTGATGGAGTCGTAGCTGCTAAGAGAGTCGCACCAAAGCCGGCTCAGAAGAAAGTCACCGTTAAACCAAAGCCCGAGGAAGTCATTGACATAAGCTCAGAAGAAGAGGTAGAGAAAGAGAAGTCTCCGAACAAGAAAAAGGAAGGAGATGCCAACTCTAAGAAGAAATCACGCACTCTTACTTCCGTACTCACTGCTCGAAGCAAGGTTAGTGGGGGTGGAATATCCTCCTCGTATGGCGCTGCCTTATTTTTAGTGAATTCTCAGTCCATACTATGTCCTATTGCAGGCAGCATGTGGTCTGACTAAGAAGCCAAAGGAGCAGATTGTTGACATAGACGCAGCTGACACTGAAAATGAACTTGCTGCAGTTGAATATATAGATGAAATTTACAAGTTTTACAAGCTGGTCGAGGTATAAATCACATTCCCTGAATTTAATAAACTCGTTATGTCTGTTTGCATTAATAAATAGCAATTTTGATACATCATGCCTGTGTGATGCAGCATGAGAACCGGCCTCACGATTACATGGACTCGCAACCTGAACTCAACGAGAGGATGAGAGCTATATTGGTGGATTGGCTGATAGATGTCCACAGAAAGTTCGAGCTCTCGCTTGAGACTCTTTATCTCACCACCAACATAATTGATCGCTTTCTTGCCACCAAGACCGTGCCAAGGAGAGAACTCCAATTGGTTGGCATCAGTGCCATGCTCATGGCATCCAAGTATGAAGAAATATGGCCACCTGAGGTTAATGACTTTGTTTGCCTCTCAGACAGAGCTTACACTCACGAACAGATATTAGTGATGGAGAAAACCATATTAAACAAGCTGGAATGGACTTTGACTGTGCCCACCACTTACGTTTTCCTTGTTCGTTTCATCAAGGCTTCCATTCCTGATGAGAAAGTAAGTTAATGACCTTGTTAATTCAAGGCTTTTGTGGTCAGTGCTTCATTCTTCTCACGATGGAAACTTATGGTCGTTGGCTTTCATTTGAATTGTTCAGTTTGAAAACATGGTCTATTTTCTTTCTGAGTTGGGAGCCATGCATTATGCCACCATAATGTATTGCCCATCAATGGTTGCTGCCTCAGCAGTCTTAGCAGCTCGTTACACTCTAAACAAGAACCCCACTTGGAGCGACACCCTGAAGCTTCACACTGGATACTCAGAAGCACAACTAATGTAAAATATATTGCCTCTGTTCCCTTCAGTTACAGCGGAATTCATTTTCTCTCAGATATTATTTACTCATGGATGATGATGTTGATTTCCTTTCTTATCAAACAAACAGGGGTTGTGCTAGATTGCTGGTGAGCTTCCACTCGACGGCTGAGAATGGAAAGCTCAAGGTGGTGTACAGGAAATACTCGGATCCAACCAGAGGAGCTGTGGCATTGCTTCCTCCGGCAAGGAATCTCATGCTTGAAGATTCCGCTCCTAATTAGAAGGGAAAAAAGGGATCTGCTGCAGTAACATTTGTTATTATTTTTTATATCTTTTTATTCAATACGAGACAGAAGTCTGGCTTTGAATGTTTGACTGCATTAATTTCTCACGAATGGGGGTTTAGACATTTGATATTTGTTGTTGGATAAAATGGTCTCACTCTACTTGGAGATGCAAAAGCTTTCTCAGTTCTCGCTTTGAAACGAGAGCTTTTGCGTATAGTGCTGAGATTTCATTGTAAAGTTGAGGTATAACTGCTAACTGTGTATCAATACATTTTCTCAGACTGGAATTACAGCGGAACATTGTTGTAATGTTTCCCTTGTAACGGCTTATGGGTAGCACTGCTGCAATGTTTGATTGCAAATTTAGTTATCATTATTATTATTCTTTTAAATTAATATAAATATAAATTAGCTTCAGCCCGTGAAATATAAATATTAATATCACATATAAATGGGGGAGAATGACCAAAAAAAGAACTGACCTCCTAAAAAAATATATTATTACTATTTTTGAGTTAAGTGTAGCAAAAACCTATTAAAGTGCAGGAAACAAACAGAATTTAATAATTTTCATGTTCATTTTTTGTCATTTTTTCTATAAATAATGGAATTAATAATTTTTAAACAATTATTTAATGTCAATACATTTACAATTTTAACACCCCCTAACCATGTAAGTTTTAACCCAAAAAAATTAAAGTTATAGTTTTCTTTGCCATCAATTATTTTTAAACTATAGGAAACAATATGAAAACTATAGGATTAATTTATTCTTTAGAAAATTGGGCAAACAGACTGAAAAGCCAAATTATTTTGCGTAACATTACTGTGTTTTAAAATTTTCATTTAATGGACCAAAGTCTTTTAGGGGAAAGGTGTTTGATTAGGAACCGACAAACTTGGCCACACCGTAACGTTGCTTGCATGAAGCCTTGTCACTTCCTGCTCGTTTTCTCTTCCCCCATTCTTTTTTTCTCTTCTTTCTGGAAAAGCGTTTTAGTCTTTTTTGCATTCGTACACAGTTCTTTCTCAGAATCACCATGGCCTCTTGAAACCAAAATGTCAGACTCAAAAAAAGAAAAAATTGTAAGACCCAAAACACAGTCATTTTACTTTTTTTTTTTTTTTTTTAATTTAGAATCTGCTCAAATCATTTTGAATTTAAAATTAATTTCTACGGAATTAGTATCCAAATATTTTATTGATATGGTCTTTCAATCAATTTTTCTTTTTTCTTTTAACATTTTTTTAGAAAAAAAACTTCAATTAAACTTCCTTTTCTGACCAAATTAAAATGATCTCCCTAACAAAGATTATTTATCAAATTAAGTATTCTTCTAATTCCTAATATAAAACCTAATTAACTAATTTGAGTAGATTAAAAATATTAGTTAAATTAAGTAATATAAAATTTTTTCTAAAACATCGTAATCATTTTTCTAAATTTCCTCCATCCCTCCCTCTTCTACTAATTATTGTTAAAAAACATCAATAGAGTTAATTTGAAAAAAAAATTGATGAGTATGTGAAATACTACCTCCGATTCTTAATATAAAATCATGTTTGACTTTTATTTTGGTTCTAAATATAAGACCTCAATCCACTTTGTCTCTCATATTTATACATTTTTTGCCAAAGTAGCTATTCTAATAATGATAGTTCTAATCAATACACTTGATTAGCAATGATATTTTAGGAAAGACAACACCTATTTAAGATAAATAACTAACTCCATTTACTTCCTTAATCTCCTCAAATTAGTTAACTGGCTCTTATAATTAGGACCGGAGGTAGTATATCTTATATATAGGATTAATATCAACTTTCAAATAAAGTTCTATATTAAGACCATAAGGGTATTATCTATAAAAAAATTAAGAAGAATTATTATAAAACCCTAAAAAAAAGATAATTACTAAAAATCCTAAGAATTATAATATGTTTTAACTCGTCATTAAATTTTTTTTAGTAATTATTTTATTTTTTAAATAAAGCTCACAGTAATCCTCTCAAAACAGCTCGACAAACATAAGAAAACGACGGCGAACGAGGAAAAAAATTAAATAAAGGGGAAAAAATTCAGGCATTCAATTTAATCAATTAATTTTAGGACGTTATCAGGAGGGAAAAACCGTTGCCGCCAGCCCGCCATAAACCCTAAACCCTCTGGCACTGCCAGCTCAGTCGTCGATTGGCCTCCCTCACAAGCGAGTTTGAGGGCCATATCGTGTGTTGAATCCCCTTTCTTCCCCTTTCCCTCATTCATCTGCCTTTATCGAGTGTCCTTTGGTTGCAGCAAATATTTGGCTTCTCAGTCTCACGTCCTGCAAGGTCCGTACTTCTGTTGCTACAACACCCAATAACTTTTGAGTCCCTTACTCCATTAATCTACTCAGTGTAAATATTCTTTTCTCGAACAAACCAAATTTTAGAAAACGATCAAAGAATTCTGAGAGGAGAGTTGGATAGAATCTTTTGTTGATTACGTTAATTTGCGTGGTTTGAATTGCAAAATATTGCGGTCTGATATCCTGGGATGTTTTGAATTTGTGTGCCTTTGCTTTCTTTTGAAAAGAAAATAGTTATAGATGCCTTCGAAGGGAAAAAAAGCATGCCAAGGCACAGTCGAGGCTATCAGCCTCTGAAGTGGCCTCTCCTCGTACACCGTCATTGACTCCTAACAGAGATTCAGATCTGAGTGAAGAAGAACTTATCCTTTCTTGTGAAGAAGCATCAAAAATATTCCCGCCTTTCATTGGCAATTCTGCTTTTGTTGGCGATATCAGTGCTGTGGAGCTGAAATCCAAAGGCTGTAAAATCTGGCTTTCTGAGTCTTCCATGGTTTCTTCTTGCCTTGCGCCGGGTTCCATTGTGTCGGTAATTTTTCCATTTGCTAACTCAATAATAATAATTACAGCTGCAATTCTCGTCTTTATTTTCTTGCATCTATTACAATGTAAATGTAAATTGGTGGTAGATGATTGATGAATAAAAAAGGGTTTCCTAAATTTTGACTTTTATCTGCTGGTCGCAGAGAATATATGATTCATGATGATTTGCAGAAGACTCTAGCATGTCCAAAGCACTCACTTTTGAGATCTGATTAGCATTATAACATTTTATATAGATACCAGATCAACGAATATTGAGTAATGCCATTTTTTGAACGCAAGACACCTAGTCAGTTATCCAAGGCTAACATAGATTTCCATACAAGATTTTTATTTTTATGGTTCTACTTTATTTTTATTTTCGTGGTCGTCCTTTAGTCTACTTCATCTCATCATATTAATTCAATTGGCAGGTTTCAATTGCATCTCCGAGAAAGAAAAATCTGGATTCAGATAGCTTTCCTCTTAAATCATTAACAAAAGAATGTGCCCGATGCTATGGACTGGATGCTGGGAACACTTCTGATAGTGTTGCGGGGAACTACTTTGCTCTTGCACTAGTTTTTCCTTCTAGCAAGGTTTGTCTGGCTACTTTTCAGCCATCAAACATTTGAAGTGCTACTGTATTAGTATAAAAACTGATAACAATATAAGCACGAAATTAGAAGGAGGTTTAATGTCATTATATTATGTAGTTAAGGAAATCAATTCTAAACTATGAGCTAGAGTTACCAGGGAGATAAACATTCTATGGGAATCAATTTCTGGAAGTAAAAGGGTTCCCTGAGAGCATTTTTCTGGGGGACATTTAGGAGTAAGATTAAATTGTATTGTTGAATTTTTGGATCAGGTCTCCTTTGTTCAACAAATACTGTGAGTGAAGAAACGTGGAAGCTAATAATTAATAATTATTGATACCTTCACTGTCAGGTTGTTAGGGATTTGTTCTGGCTAAACCAAACTAGACCATAACAGCCACTGCTTCTGAGTTGTATTAAAGTTGTAGATGTTGCTACCAAGAAGGCCATGAGAAAATCCATGGAGGAGGATTTTCTTCAGGATTGAAAATCCACTTAGTGTGCCCTGCTTCTGTGAGATTTTTCTTACTGGTTTTTGTAGTTTGGAAAAAGCAAACCCCTGGAAAAAAGGGGGGGGGTGCCTGGATGCATGCATGTTTTAATGGTGTTTGGGGGTAATCGCTCAAATGTAACAATAGCATTTTAAGATGCAAATTCAACTTTTCTATGGCTTTTTCTTGTTTCCTGGGCTTGCTAGAGTCACCGCCCAGCGGGAGGGTTCCCTTCATTGGTTTTACAAAGGGATAGGACATTTCTTTGAAGCATGTTTATTCTTCCCTATTATCCATGCATGTATGCCTAATTTATTTCATTATATTTACTTAGGTTTTGAAGAATGGAGTACAAATTTCCTCAGAGCTTTCTCATACCATGGGATGCCCTACTTTTGGCACACATGTTTTCATTTATCCGGTGCAGAATCAGTGCCTATCTTCTCTTGTAAATGAGAAAAATCAACCACGTTCTACAGAAGATAATAGCCTGCTGGTGTATGATTGCAAGGACTTGTATCTTCAGCTGGCTCCTTTGAAGAATGGATTACCCATGAAAATCGGTAACATATCACCAACAGACTTGTCTGCAGCAAAATTCAATCTTCAATTTGGGAATGAAAATGTTACTTCTCCTAAAACACCTTCGAATGGATTGAAATTGTCTAGTTTTAGTGATTTATCTTCACCTATATTTGAAGATTCTTCTTCTAGCATACATAATCAAAAGAGCCAATCCCTAATTTCATTTGATCTAAGGGAGGCATTGGGGGAT